ATATATATATATATATATATATATATATATATATATATATATATATATATATATTGAAATAAAAGGGCTAATTCATTAATTATACGATAAAAAGATTATAATAAGATCGATGAGATGATAAAACAATCCTACAATTAGACATTGAAATAAATTTTCAATACTACACGAAACTTGAATCTTTGACTGTTTTTTAAGATTTAAGCTGAATTCGTTTGGAGAATCTGAAGCTTCTTTGATATTGTTAATGATCTTGCTACCCTCTGACTCTATTGCGGCTCTTCTGTCTATAGACAATATCTCCATTAATCTGAACTGCATATCAAAGTTCAGATCTTCTTCAGTGCTAGGGATGAAGCAAACATACTCCATTATCACAACATTTATATATTAAATGTTCACAATTTTTAAATACTAAATATTCACAATTTACATATTGAATGTTTAGAATTTACATATTGAATGTTCACAATTTAAATACTGAATGTTCATAATTTTATATACTAAATTTTCACAATTTATATACTGAATGTTCATAATTTGAATGGTAAATATTCAGTATATAAATTTAAATTGTGAACATTTAGTATATAAATTGTGTATTTGACCCGAGTGCATAGCTATCGCCTCGAGTGTGCATCAATAATTCAATATCAACTAGAAGCACTCATATTTTAGGAATTATAAATAAGTCATAAGTTTACCCAATGTGGCAATGTCTAATCATTTACGAATATGTTTGGGAAAAAGGTCCAATAGGCCTAAGTATAGAAAATAAAAAATTAGACTCTTAAATTATAGAAAATAAAAAATTAGACTCTTAAATTATAAAAAACTTTAACTAACTAGACACTTGGACTTGTCAGATTAATTAATGCAATGAAACTGATTAACTAGACACCAATTAAACCCTTTATAATTCAATTTGAGGAGTTGAAATCTTCAATTATTGAAAGTTTGTATAGTTTAAAGGTGTTGTTTTGCTTATAGTTTGAGAGTGACAATTTTTCCAAGAACAATGCTAGATGCTCTTACAATAAAAGCCACTCATTTGTGTGACAATTTTTAATAAGTTAGATTTCAAAAAAAAAAAAAAAAAAACTACACAAAAATAGTAATTTTAGGGAGTGATAAAAATTGCATTTTTTTGAATACTACGTAACATTATTTATAATTAAAAAACATTTTATTTTTATTTATTATCATTGGTTGAGTCTCTTGCGATACTATCTCATGAATCTTTATATGTGAGATGAGTCGAGTTAAGATAGATATGTAATACTTATATTGAAAAGTGTAATATTAATCAGGATAAATTGTTTGTTAATTATAAGTGGAAGTGTAATAATTTTGAAGAAAAAATGTAATACTTTTAAATTTAAAAAATAATTTTTAGGAGTTAGAGAGTTACTTATGAAAAATAATACTAATGAAAGATAAATTGATTGATTGTTCGAGAAAAAATGTAATACTTATAAGGATAAATGTAATATTATGAGTTAAAGAATTACTTATTAAAAAAGTGTGTAATACTTATTAGAGAAATTGGAGATTTTGTCATATCATTTAGTGAAGAGGTCATTGACGTAAATTGCATCATAAATATTAGATAAATTTAGGAGACTTAGGGTCATTTGAAAACACGAAAAATGACTTTTAGAAGATATTTTTTGGATTTTCAGAGTTTGGATACTCAAGGAAAATGAAGTCAAAGGAAAACATTCATTCTAGTCAACTGGACAAAAAAAAAAAAAAAAAAAAAAAAAAAAAAAAACTCATTTTAATAAAAAATATCTTCCTAGTTTTTTAGTGGAAGGACATTTTTTGAATTCTTTATTTTTCATCTTTCTCCCCTCTCTTATTTTTTAAGTTAGTTTCTAGATTATTATTATTATTATTATTATTATTATTATTATTACCACCACCACCACCACCACCACACCAACACTACTACCGCCACTACCACCAACACCAACATCACCAAAACCACCACACCATTGAACTATTTGGGGATAGCAATTAAACCACCAAACTCAAATAAGCTACAAATTCATCTATGAACCTGGACAAAAAAATGCAATTAGCATTTTTAGTAGGTTAACAACAGGTTTGAGTTGTCATGTGTATATTTTATTTTATATTTTATTATTTTTATTTTATATTTTAGCTTATTTATTTATTTATAATAAATAATTATTTTTAATTTTTAATAAATAAAAAATATTTTGTTTTAAAAAATAAAATAAAAGGACGTATGTCAACACCGTATCAATTTAACCTGATAAACAGGTCAAATTGGACTTAATTGAATAATTTTACTGGTTTAGGATACTTGAATGAAGTTTTTTTCACTTAGGGAACCCAATTGCACTATCCACTTGACTTATGGAGCCAATTTGACACTTTTTCCTATACTTTATTATCATTATTATTGTCAGGGACATATTGATTTTTATATTCATAATTCATTGTCATTCCAAACCCAAACCAAATTAAACAATAGAATCCATATTGCCAGTAATTTCTTTTTCACCAACCAAACAATGGAAGATCCCATGTCCCCCCTGGGATTTTAATTCCATGAATTTTAGGAAGAAAAAAAGATAATGATGAGACAAAATTATCACTCTCCGTTTTTAACCTAAAATTGACGTCTGACAACAACAATGAACATTTTGGACTTTATACTACTTATTCCCTTTCAATTCTCATGTATACCAAACATTGGAATTGAAATTCCCAGTAATTATATTTCTGTAAACCAAACACTGGAATTTAAATTCTCACTTTATTCCCAATAATTCATCTCCCATGGAATTACAATTTCTTTCCTACGTAATTCTCTCCCTCCAACCAAACGTCCCGTTATCATTTTTATTACTACAAATGAAGTTTTTATGTAGGGAGCATTAGAACTGATGAAAAATTGAAGAAGGGTCGCAGTGCGCGTTAAGCATGTAAATGGATATTATTTTTTTTATTATTACTTTTTCCTGTCAGATTTTTTTTTCTTTCTATTTTTCATCTTTTCCCTTTTCTCTTTTCTATTTGACATTGTAAAAATCACCAAAAAACCTAACACTATTGAGAATACTCTTACTTGGAGTCCATTTATCATTTTCCTATTCATAAACGTTGGGGTAAATTTATAATTGATGAAAGAAGCGAGGTTGGTTTAAAAAAAAAAATGAAAGAAGCGAGGTGTAGTTGATACTGATACACACTTCCCAAGATATTAAAGAAAGACTTGGTAGCTAGCTGCCTAGCTGGCTCTCATAGTTAACGGTTGTTAACCTTGACCATAAAAGTCTTCCTCAAAAACATCCTTAATTTATATTTTAAATGTTTGGTCAAGTCGATTTAAATAAATCAAACAATTAAAAGCTAAACTAGAAAGCCTCTTTACCAAAGAAAGCCTATTTACCAAAGAAAGCCTATATATGCAATATAATTGATGCTGAGGTAGTGAGGTAGTACCCATGGCGAGTTGAGTATGGATGCTTAAAAGTTTCTCTTAGTATTAGGTGGGCTAAATAGTGAATATAAGATTTCCAATTTAAAAGCTAAGCTAAAAGCATTAGGGGTGTGCAAACTTCGGATAATTTTCGGTTAACCGACCGAATCGATAAAGTTCGGTTAACCGTTTTCGAACCGAACTTTTTCGGTTCGGTTAATGGTTAAAGGAATTTTAAAATTTCGGTTAACGGTTAATTCGGTTCGAAAGGCCGGTTAACCGAAGTTTTTAATATATATATAAATAATAGTATAAATATAAATACTAATTTGAAGTTATGGATGTTTGGAGTTTCTAATTAATGTTTTTGTATATTTTGTTATGAATTTATTATGATATGTATTTTATTTTAATTAGATTTATTATTTTAGGTGTTATTTTTAGAATTTTAAATTTTAGCTTTAAAAAGTTCGGTTAATCGATTAACCGACCGATTAACCGAAAAAAATTTCGGTTCAGTGAATTCGGTAAAGCAAATTTCGGTTCGGTTAACGGTTAAAGGAAAAAAAACTTCGGTTAACCGATTGAACACCCCTAAAAAGCATGTTTACACTTTGTTTCACTTTCCCAAAACAAATTGACAACTGAGGGATATAGGCGAAAGTAATTTGAATATTTTGAGGTTAATACACATTTAGAATCGGAATAGACTTGTACTTATTATTGTTTCAATTTTTTTTGGTGCTTTTGTTAAAGGCTCCCGTGGTAGAAGAAGTTGATGTGGTGGGTTTTGACGATGAAGTAAAAACTATAAAAGATTGTTTGGGAATAGCAGGATTACGCAGAATTACATTAACCAAAATGGTGTTTAAGGACCGCGATATTCTATGAGTTTTTCACGCGCCTCTGGGTTTATGTCTCAAGAGCTAACAGAAAACAAATATTTCTTGACATTCTAAGTAATTTCACCAAAAACACCAAAGAGTTTCTTAATATGACTGAGGAGAACTTAGCGGTTAAGATAAACGAATACTTGGAGAGCAGAAAGTATTTCATTGTACTAGACGATGTATGTGCCGAGCATAATTGGAATTGTTTGATAATTGCTTTTCCTAACAATAATAAAGGTAGTAGGGTCTTGGTAACCACTCAGACACCATAACGTGGCTTCTCATGCTTTTTTTACTGGTAACCCTCACAAGCTAAAATTTTGAGCAACGATGAAAGTTGAGAATTGTTAGAGAAGAAGGTTTTTTGTAAAGAAAAATGTTCTAACGAATTAGAAGTAGATGGAAGACGCATAGCAATAAAATGCAACGGATTACCGTTTGCAATAGTGGTGATGGCTGGTGTACTTATAAACAATGATAGCAAAACTATACAGAGTGGAAGAGGATAGCTCAAGGTCCCTACCCTATAATCAACAAAGAAGACATGAGCTACAACAAACTAGTAAAAGTAAGCTATGATAGTTTGCCTTATAACTTGAAAGATTGTTTCCTATACCTCGCACTTATTCCTATATGGCATGAAATGGCGACATGGAAGTCCAGACATACAGATGCTCTCCACCATCTCGCCTTCGAGATGCACACAAGAAATTCTGGAGAAGACTCCAAATCTTCTGAAGCTGGGAATTCGCGGGAATCTGGCAGTGCTTATGGAGAGCAAGGGCGGAGTTATGTTATTTGACAATCTCCAGATACTAGACTGCTTAGAAAATCTGAAGCTGATAAACAACGCTCTCCAGAACAGCAAACTGCGAAGATGCCCTCACTCTGAAAAGTTCCCTCGCAGGCTAAGAAAGATGACTTTATCAAACACGACATTCGAGTGGAAAGACTTGAATATCTTGAGTTTATTAGAGGAGCTTGAAGTGCTCAAGCTGGAGGAGAATGCCTTTAGGGGAGATTTTTGCGATGCGAGCAACATTGCCTTCAAACAGCTGCGATATTTGAGGATTGGAAGGACTAATTTAGTGTCATGGAAGGTCTCCAAGGATAGCTTTCAAGCACTGAAATATCTCATTCTCAGGCACTGCAATGTCCTTGAATCTGTTCCGGCTGTGTTTGGTGAGGTTGAGAGCCTTAAGGTGATGGAATTGTTCTGTACCAATGGAAGGGCAGCTAATTCTGCTTGAGAAATACAGAAGCTCAAGAATGAAAATCAATGTGGATTTCAGCTGTCAATATATCCTCCTGATCATTAAGTTCACTACAGGTTATTTAAATTGTTTACAAAAGCTCTTGTTCTGGATGGCATTTCCTTTATTTTTTCAACTTGACTATCCATTTCATTGTGATTTCTTCAGAGCCCGTGGTTTTTGACCGTTCAGTGGCGTGAATTTCTTGCTAAAATGAAGGGTTATTGCAATTCTACCGTCTCCTTGTTTCGCCGTCTCTATAATTTTAATTGCTACAAATTAGTGACGGATTTAACAATCCGTCACTACATTTGTAAGTGGGATTTGTTTATGTTTGTATTTTAGCGACGGATTTGTCAGTCCGTCGACGGATTCACAATTCCGTCGCTAAGGTTGGATAGCGTGATTTTTTTGTCTTACACACTAACTACGGAAATGTGAATCCGTCGCTAAGTTTATATAGCGTGTTTTTTTGTCTAACACTCTAGCAACGGAACTTTGAATTCCGTCGTTAGATAGCGAAGAATTTCAAATTCGTCGCAAAATTTACAAGTGGTGTTTCTAAATTAAAAGGCAAATTTGTAAACATAGCGACATATTTTATTATCCGTCGCTATATATTGCGACGGATAGTAAAATCCGTCGCTACAGTTGACACTTAATCTGAAATTTCTAGATCCTAATCGCCCAAAAAATCCTAATTGTTCTATTCGTTCATTCGTTCTGGAATCTCGTCTTCTCCAAGAGAGTGACGATTGACGAGATCAGTAGACCACAATTTCCACTCGTCGTCTCCAATCTTCACAGTTCCACTCCAATTAGCAAAGGAGCCAATAAATAAGATATAGCAAGGAAAATAGGTTTTGTAAGACATGGGTTACCTCTTAGCCCTAATCAATATCCCTGGCTACTAAGGTTCTTCTCTAAGATATCCCTCCAATGAATCTCTCTAGGTTCGGTGGTGGGGAATTCCTTTGCTAGGTTTCCTCGTGGGATGTCTCGCGTGGTAGAATTAATTGTGGTAGGGTTTCTAAATGCTTTCTAATCCTCTATATATTGATTCAGGAGTCCTAACTAGAATCTGAATAGTAAAGGCCAACTTTCCCTATTCCTAATAGAATTAAAGACTTGATTAAGGATGAGGGTCCATGATCCATTGTGGACCATGCTAATTAATCAATGGGAATTCTAATCGGATTAAATCCTTTTAATTATATATTAGCGGAATTAATTCCACGATTAGTCCGGATACGGAGGTCGTAACACGGGGTGTTACAAATAAACTCCATCCTCCGGTTGTTTTAAGAATAAGTGTTAGATCTCATATCATCTCCGATCGTTTTCAGAGAAGGCTTCAGAGACTCTCCAGATCTAACATGTTTCCTACCATCTTTTCCATTTATTTTGCTTTCTTTTGGTTTTACGTACGTTATCGCTTTGTTCCTTTGACTAGTTTGTTTCCTCTCGTCTCTCTGACAAGTGTTTCCCTCTCGTCTCTTTGGCGAGTTTTTTCCCCTCGTTTCTTTGGTGAGTTCTCCTCATAAGCGTGGAATGATAAAATGGTCACACCAGAGTTAGGTTTGGTTATGTTTGACCAGATCTGTGAAGAAGCGCCGAGTTCATCCAACAACTTCGGCTTCAAATTTGTAAAACAGTCTGCGATCTAAGTTTTCTATAGCGTTACTAGGAAATTTGTTTCTATGTCTGATTGTAAAGAATGTATTACCATTCTATCGATCTGTATTGTAAACATTTCTGCTCATGATTAATGAATTAGCCTTTTATTTAAAAAAAAAATATCAATTATGCACATAAAAGTAATAAGAATTAGCGCTCATCAAATCTGATCTCCCAACACTTAGACATTGCTTGCCCTCAAACAAGAATTAGAACTCAACCTTGAGATAAGGAACATCATTCAACAATAAAGAGAACAATATGCAATGCAAGATATCAAGTACATGGGCTCACATTCCGATACGTTCCCACATCGACTCCACAAGAGATTGTGGTGTGGTACTTAAGTTGGGGTCAAACCTTCACTCATGAACTAGCTTTTGTGAGTTAGGGTCTTGGTTTGAATACCGTATTATTGGTGCTTTCATTTGAGAGGCTGGAGTGTGGTGGGGAAGGGCTATCTAGAGTGCCGGCCTAGCGGAGTTCAAAGGGAAAATGGTGCCGAGAAGAGTATGACATGAGCTACTCCTCTCATTTTGGCTTAGCGAACTCGAATTCTTCACCATAGCCTAACGCCCAATGGATCAAAAGACCTTCCTAGCTTAATTTGAACTGAAGGTGAGAAACATGCACAAGTCATTCCAATCATTCACAATTGGCCCCAAAGACCCATTTAAGATATAGTGAAGGTATGACATGAGCCGCTCCTCTCATTTTGGCTTAGCAAGATTTCCGCTTTTTTTTCCTCACCTCTAGAACATCAACTTCATATATACTACCTAATTTTAACAAGATAAAAAAAAAATGTGACATAATTAAAAATGGGTAACAATGTGTTCATTACTTTGATAAAAGTCTATGAAGTTACTTTGCGTTCAAGTTTACTTGAATTCAAGATTTCTAATAAGTAAACGTTTTAAAATTCTACAAGTCTATTCACCCCTCTCCTCCCTCTAGGCTTGTACCTGCCCCCTCGTGACCAACAAGTGGTATCAAAGCTTGTACATTGGTCGATCAAACTCTGTGAGACTGTCTAGTGATCTCATTTTCAACAGTTTTTTTTTTTTTTTCTGACACGACAAATTTTCTTAAAATGGAAGGTTCTTTATCTAAGCATATAAATATTACAATATCTATTATAAGTAACAATTTGTTTAATTCAAATTAGTATTAAATTTTCTGTATTAAGTATTATGACTTCTATCCAAAGTACCAAACAACTATTCTAAATTCTGTCTAACCGATATGATCTTATACAAGTTTGACTATAAATTTAGAGATGAATAAAAAATTTAAAAATTCCTTTAAAAAAAATTTAAAATAAGAAACTAAATAACATTTATTTTTGGAAATAACTAAATAACATTTATTTACTCCGTATTTTATTTTAAAGCACCAAAATGAGTGTTTACAGAGTAATATTCAATGAGAAGCCAAGACAACCAAAACAACAACCAGCCATGATAAAACAAACAAACCAAATCAAAATCCAACTCAAATAGCAAGACAGTAAATATGCAATCTGCACACAAATTGGAAAGCAGGTACGTTGAATGGAATGGTCGGAACAAATTTGTGTTGCCCACTTATTTCAGCATTTTGTAGAAATCACAATCAGAAAGTCATCCATAAATTGGGGAGCTAGCTAAATTGGTTTGACCCATCACTTTATAACTTTGTTCGAACTATAATGGGAGACTTTAACTGATCAGAGGTGATGAAAACTCCTTTTGCACTAGAGACTGACGGACGACTTGCAATTTATCTCCTCTAGGAAAACCTAACAAACAAATGCAAATACCAAAACAAGAGAAATATAATTTAAAGAATTTTAACTAACCTCACTGCTCAAAGTGCTTAGGAGGATAGATAGACAGCTGAAATCCACCCTTTTTTGTATCTCCATTTACACCTCTTTTCAGCTCCTGTATTTTTTGAGCAGAATTCACTGCCCCCTTGTTGGTGCAATACAATTCCAACAACTTAAGGCTCTCTATTTCACCAAACTCAACTGGAACAGCCTCAAGCTTAGTGCAGTTTCTGAGGAACAGACATTTTAGTACTGGAAAACTATCTTTCGAAGCTGTCCATGATACTAAATCAGAACTTTGGATGCGAAAATACTGCAGTTGTTTGAACACAACGCTCCTTACATCACAGAACTTTCCTCTAAACGCATTGTCCTCCAGCTTTAACACCTCGAGCTCATCCAACGACTCCAAAGCACTCAAGTCCTTCCACTTGAATGCAGTGTTGGACAAAGTCATCTTCCTTAGCCTGCGTGGGAACTTCTCAGCATGAGGGAAGCTTCGCAGTTTGTTGCTCTGGACAGCATCATTTATCAGCTTCAGATTTTCCAGGCGGTCCAGCTTATGAAGATTGTCAAACAGACTAACTCCTCCTTGCTTGACATCCATAAGCTCGGCTAGATTCCCGCGAATTCCCAGCTTTTGAAGGTCTGGGGTCTTGTCGAAAATGTCCCCTGTGCAACTCGAAGGCGATATGGTGGAAAGCGTCTTTATATCTGTACTTACCGAGGCATTGTTCTTGCTGGATTTTGGAGGAGGGGGAAGCAGCATGGAACTGTTGCTATGGACATGTCTTAGTTTAGACATGCTCCATATATCAGCCTTAACTTCAAGGCTATTCTGGGAGGAGTTAAACACAAGAGTCTGCATGTTACAGAGATTACTGAAGAGCTTTGGGAGGAGCTTCATGTCAGTTGACACTGCAAGGAATCTCAGATGGTAGAGGTTATAGAATTCTTTAGGCAAGATTTTGAATATCAGGTATTCAACATCCATTACCCTAAGAAGAGGAAAAGATTTCGGAATGGCACCCAGACACTCATTGGGAATTTCTACCTCTTTGGAGCAATAAGACAAGAAAGATCTCACATGTTCACTAGATGGCTTGTTGTCTAATTTCAAGAACTCCAAAATGGAAGAGTGGACACAAAGGCGGCGTGGGATTTTGTTCACATCTAGTTTAGCATTGTACATTTCATGAAAGAAATTCTTGGTGGCAGCTTCATTTTTGCAAAACTCGTGCAATGTGTCATGAATCCGACACGTTTTGATTTGACCATCCGCTCTCCTTTTCAACACCATTAAAAGATTTCTATCAGCAAGATCTTCCAAGTATTTCTCGGCTGTGCGCTCTAGATCGGAGGTGTATCCACCCTCCATTAGTGGGATGAATCCCTCTGCTATCCACGAGCGGATTAGTTTCCAAGAAGCAATCTCATGGCCAATAGGAAAGGCTGCTAGGTATAAGAAGCAATCTTTGGAGTAATAAGGTAAATAGTTATAACTCAATTTGACTAGTTTATTGTAACTCTGGTTTTCTGGGTTAATTACTGGGAAGGGATTTTCAGCTACTTGTTTCCAATGACCATGGGTGCTGTCTTTGTTTAAGACACCAGCAATCACCACCACTGCAAGTGGTAGTCCATTGCATTTTATGGCTATCTGGTTACCAAGTACTTTTAACATTTGAGGACACTTTTCTTTACGGAAAACCTTCTTCTCCAGTAACTCCCAACTTTCGTGGTTGGCCAAAAATTTTAGCTGGTGAGGATTAC